GTGCCTGAGAGAAATTGATAATATATACAAAAAGCCAAAAAGTTACTACTTTATTATGTAAAAGCTCACTCGGAATGAAAAAAGAACGGGTCTTTAAGTTTTGAAACTTTCCGTAAGAAACAGAGTTGATGTACCTTTGAGAAACTGGGAGATGGGGAAATGGGGAGTTCCTTGGATTTTCTCCTGCGGGATGCGAATTCCGGAGAGACGAGGGCCTTGAGAGCTGGGGTGCTGGAGACACGCGTCAGCTTCCCTGAGTTTCTGATCACCGGAAGACCTCTGTTGTCGGTTCTTCCGTTGAAACTGCGGCTTCCAAAGCAAGAGAATCCCGGATCCCCTGACAATTCCGTCATCGGGGCACCGTACCCAAGCTTCCCGATGATAACGAAGCTGTCACTTGACTTCTCCGGTGAGGAGACGAGGGAGCTCAGAGCAGAGTCGAAGATGCTATGTTGTTGATCCGTTGACTTTTCCCACATAATGCAATCCGAGTTTCGAGCCAGATTCGGATCCATCAACGTGGACCAGTTAAGCATCGCCGGTTGCTCCGGAAGGTTTGCGTTCATAAACAACAGCTCCTCGTTATCCATTCTCCTTAAGAATTAGATCAAAACTCAAGTAAGATCCTAAAAACAGACGAATTCAAGCACAACGGAGTTTCGAATGTGCCGGAGGAGGAAAAGAGCGTAACTGGTATGAAAATGCTCAATGGTGGTGGCTTTATATAGCTGTGTATTTTTTTTTATATAACGTGTAATATATTAAACATTAAATTATGCTTTATCAATAATCATTTAATTAAGAATTACTAGTAAATCAATTACTATATCATTTTGTGTGTAGCACCGTAACGGGCGGAGATTAGGAGTTGTTGCCGGGCCTTTGACGTTGAGCGATATTGCTAATAATTATGTACTTCTTTTACAATATCGACGTAACATTCTACATACTTTTGTTTTTGTTTTATCTGGAAAAACAACAATCCCTATAAAATCTCAAATGAAAGAAAGAAAGAAAGTCAACGAAGATGAGAGTTAGAGGAAGAGAAGGTTGCTTCAACGAAGCTCTGATGGAGCCTTTGTTATGGAGTAGTCGTTGTTTCGAGAAGGTGACATACAAGGCAGATTTGACTTGTTTTGGAAAAAGAGAAAAACAGATAGACGAAAACTTTTGAGATAAATTCACAGATCTACCTATACCAAAAAGCGTTATGTCATTTCAGGTTATGTTTCTCTAGCTATACAAGAGAAATTAGATCATTGTAAACGATGGTGTCGGGTTTAGCATCCACCTAACATATCCGACCCGACCCACATCCTGAACGGATCATAAAACCGACATGAATGTAAATGAACTAAGCTCACAAAGGAGAGTTAGGCCCAGACCCACGAAACTCAGCCGACTTAGTTGTCTCCGAGGAAAAAAGAAATGATCAACATGAAGAATAAAAAATCACTGAGAATTAGAAGATTTTCTTTATTTCTTTAGGATTAATTCGACCGACTCAAACTTGTATAAATATACAATGTATTCGTCTTGGAAACGGATTTACAATTTTATGAATACAAAAGACTTATCAAAAATACATTTATCGTTTTGCAATTCTTTAAGATACTGTATTATATAAGGAAATGATGTATTATTCTTCTTAGAGAATGTACAGGGATTTATACAAACAGCGTAGAAACTAATAAGGAAAAGATCAATCAACATGAAAACTAAATATACACTTTATATATTTAGCTA